ATATATTTATAATTTATATATTAATATATTTATATTTTATATGCATATTTTTATTTAATGCAGCAAAGCAATATTCCCAGTGTGATATCCAAAGGATACCAGCAAGATTCAGAAGAGGCACATCACCACAGTGTAGGAGGAAGATCTTATGCACACATCTTCTGTAGAAAATTTGAGAGTTTGGGATGTTCTGCCTGTCTCAGCCTAAAGTCACGAAATTCTGCTTTCTTAAGAAATACCTATCTGCACAAATTAGTTGGAGAACTTGAAGCCAAAATAGTTTTGAAGCCAGGTACAGTCATGACAACAAGCTTTTCTGTCAATCTCTGTGAATGCTGCTCAAGCAGCACAACCCTGGAATGTAAGTATCTTGACTTTAGTTCATACAGATGCTGATATTGACAAAATACAGCTGGAAATTCAGGCAGGATCCAAAGCAGCTTCCAAAATAATTGATGTAGCAAGCTCAAGGTCTAAGGAAGAGGATGAGACATCTCCATATGAGGACGTTCAAGCTAAACTGAAGAAGATTCTAGGCATTGAAAATGTGTTCAAGGTAAGAGACTTTGAGCATCAGAGAGGGAAATATTTTCCTATAAATGAAGCCAAGGGTTTCCAGTGTGGAAAACTGGCATGGGAAAGCAAGGATTTCGGCTGGGAGGAATGGGTCTAGGTGAGTTCTGGTGCAGATTCTGCAGTGTGTGGGGCCAGGAAGTTGTATTTCCTTGAAAGCCTATGGTGAGTAGCTCGCCTGACACCCAAAGAAATGTTACAGAACAAGCTATAAATTTGTAACCCTTTGAACTGTTTTTGGAGGTCGCAAATAAAACACGGCACCATAAGAAATGGATTCACAGAAAAGACAAGACTGCAGCTACAAACCTCTGGGCAGAGCCCAGTGCAGCCTCCCTCTCCAGTTCATCCTCTTCTTCCACTGCTTCTTCTGCTGATGGTAAAGAGCCTGGAAATGAACACAAGAAAGATGAAATAAGGCAATCTGGGAAGAAGTGTGGCAGCAGCAGCAAGAGCAGCAGCAGGAGCAGAAGTGGCAGGAGAAGCAGCAGCAGCAGTGTCAGCTCTGCTAGCAGTAAAATCTGCAGCAACAGCGAAGAAGACCACTCTGGAGACAGGCACTGCAGTGGGGACAGTGAATATTCCAACCAACAGGTAATTCACCCAGGTTGGACCTTTTTATGTTTCTTGTAGTGAATGTTTTTGTACATCAAGAAATTGTGCCCAGAGAGCACGGACCAAAGAAAGAGAAAACAGACTGTTGAGGGTGGCTGTTTGCTGCAGGATGGACAAGGTAAACGCCTAGCAGAGCTTTTTCCCCTTTTTAACCTCTCTGGTTCTTTGAAGCATTTCAGTTCAGAAGTTTCACATTTCAGATTTCAGTTTAAAATGTTTAAAAAATTTAAATTCCATACTCAATACTGAACTTCTAAATGCATTTCTCAAAAGTTAGTTCTTTGTCTTCTCTTAGATCTTCTTACATACTATCTATTTTCACAGGCAAATCTACCCGTTTACCAGTTTTGGTTCAAGCCAGCAAATGAACAGGTACATTTACTGCTTATACTGTGAGCAGGGCCTACAACTGCTCTCACTAGCTTCGCTGCAATTAGAGCTTAGTTCTCCGAGAATAAAAATATGAGAAATTAATTCTGCAACAACTTCCAATGATAAACAACTTGGTTCAAGGTGATTCTTTGTTTTTGCAGGACCCAGGAAGGGAAGTTCTAAACAACAGCATCAGCTCCTCCTCTTCTTCAGCTAGTGATGAAGGCATCTCTAGAGCCATGCCTCAGGTGAGTGTCTTAATCTACAAGAAATAAAAACATTTACTTTGGATTTCCAGTTATTGTATGTTTATAACAGAATAGGAAAAATATAGTGATTTAGCATATTAGATAATATATAGAAAGAAAATGAATCGTTCCCTGTTTTATAAAGGTGAGCACATTGGATAGCCATTGAATGTTTTTTAATATTCACTTAATACAGGCTACACCTTTTAATGAAACTGGAATGTATTGCTGTATATGTTGAAATTTGTGTTACTCAGTAAATAAATAATTCATTACAAAAATGAGAACACTTTAGAAGTGCTGACCTGCTTGATCAGAAACTGGTTTCAGGTATATTTTTTATTTCATAGCTCTCTGTAAAACTTCAGGGCTTGAGTCTGCCACTCTTTTGTTCATTAGGTCTTCACTGCCAAGTACTTCTGTTCATGTTAGCAGGACCATACAAGGCCTTTCAAAAGACCTTGATTTTGCAGTAATGCTCCAACTTTGAGAGCAATCCAGGTATTTATTCAGGAATGACTGCACGGTACATAGTTAATGGTACCTGGTTCTTCTGTAAGAACTATCGTAAGAACTGATGGAAACTGGAGCAGATTTCATGAAAGGAAAATTTCACACATTTCAGACAATGACCTACATGCCTATAAAGTAGTAAGCCTTACATTGCCGAGTCACCCCCTCTGCACCAGCAGCTCCCAGTTGTTAGTGCAAGTAGCCTGCGGAAAAAAGGCAACCAGATCTACCTTCTCCTGCACCCATATCCGTGTAACTTGAATTAACTGCTCTTGTCCATCTTTTCACCACATTACTACTTCCCTGAACTCTTCCCGGTCTTCCCCAGTGCTCTCACCACATACACCTTCTTCCTCAGCCACAGCCTTGCTCTTTCCCCATTTCCCCCTAAGTCCTCACCAGCTCTGTCTCACCTAATCCTTCTGTGGGTCTCCATCACTCGGACCTGGCAGCACAGGGAGGACCCGCTGCCCCACAGCTCATCCCACCTCCAGCTCTCCCCTGGCCAGGTGGGATCTCCTGCCCCACAGCTCAGGCAGGGCAGTCACAGCTGCTCCTTGTGCAAATACCACACTTTGGACTGCACTGAACAGATCCCTCTGTCAACACAAATTATCACAGCTTTAAACAGGTGGTTAAACGAATTTTATCAAAAAGACTATTAGCTAGGCTACAGGTTGGTAAGAGAGCAGTGCTGAGCTGGGTAATACCGATTCTTTATACAGTAGTGTTCTACTCCATACTTCCTTTTGTTACACTGAATTTACTTTACAAAAAGATTCCCAATGCTCCTGTTTTACTTACATAGATAGCGACAGCTCTTGCTTGAAAGACTGTGGCAAAACTACATATGAACTGAATAGATCAAGTGATGATCTTGATCTACGATGCTTTTCCATACTTCACACAGAAAGACTTTTTGAATTAAACTTTTCCTTTACAAATACTTTTTATCTGTGGTTTTAATACAGTAATTTTAATGCTTTGGTCTCTATTTCCTCTCTACTGACTTAAGCCTAAATTCTTGGGAGACAGCAAGCCACCAATACTGGCTGCAGTCCTTCGTGCCATCCACAGAAACGAGCAGCCGATGGGATTACAGTTTGTACTGTACACTGATACACAGCCGATGAGATCGAGGATACAGATGTTTGTTTCAAGCATCACAGGATCAAGTAGATGGAAACTCTGTGCTGATGCTTCAGTAATAAATTCCCATAAAGTATCAGTAAGTTTAAAATAATGATCAGCTCAAATGTAAATGAAATATAATTATCTTACTATGTTTTATACAAAAATATATATATTCCCCTCTACTAGGGTTCTCTTAAATGGGGTAAAGATTGCCAGGACTACCAGATTGCTACTCAGATTGCAACAGGGCAATTTGCTGCTTATCCAGCTATGCAGATGAAGCTGGAGTGGCCAAAAGTACCTTCAATAGTCCGAGCAACTGCAAGATGGTAAGATTTTACATTAGTTTTTGAAAAATTCACCTGTGTCAATGCAGATAATCACAGATTCAGTTCTGCAATTTCTGAGCTGGAAAAATTCCCCTTAATCAGTATGATATTATAAAATCAGATTACATGTGTCTCTTTTTTTCTGTGTATTCATTCCCTCAAAGCACAGTGCATTTTCATTTGCAGGAAAACCGCTTGAAACAAAGGGGAAGATGGGATTCACCTAATCTATTGCAGACTTTTAATTTAAAGTGCCTGAATTAGGAAATTGGTCTCCTGATGCTTCCTAATTGATGGAGGCTCAGAACAGAAGCCTAACATTGGTTGTCCGAAGGAGTCTGTCTCTTACTGACTGTACAGGGAGAGTAATTTCCTAACGTAGGCACCTTACCTCTGGCTTCTGAAGGTGATACAAATACTTTCCATAAGGCTTATTGCACACTAAATAGCAAACGTTGTGTGACGCTTAAGTGTAAGAAAACTGTAACTGCTGGATTCAGTTCACATATGTGTCTATCCTTATACATATAGTATCTACTGTATTCATTCATTCATTGTATTCATACATGCATTTGCCCACAGTAAGATATAAATCCATAACAAAGCCTAATCTTTTTTCATAGTGCTACCAAAATACAGACACATACAACAACTCAGTTATCTAAATATGCATGCAACACAAGCTTTCACATTAAAAGCATACAGGTGATTTGGTTAACAAATGTCTACTGAAGAGGATAATTTTTTATATTAGATATTGAATTACCTGAAGTGCTGTTATCTGCCCTTATTAGAGGGGATGTAACCATCCAATTGACTATCCTGGACCAAAGCCACAGAATTCAGATTTTTTCTGCTCTGAGACTATGCCTTTTTTTAAAGGAGTATTTTCTGTATTTCTCTATTTGAGTCCCAAGCCTGTAAGGGAAGCTAATCATAGAGATCCCTCTGTCAACTCATTGACAATGTTAGTGGGCGAAAGATTCTTGCTAAAAGTTACCACTGCAGGACTGACACATTAATACGAGGTCATCTATTTTTTAGCATGTTAGTATTTTAGTTTTTCTGTAATCGGTGCCTGTTTTTAACTCTGAATGTGTTTAAAACAAGTTGGCTATACTTTTCTTCACATATCACTCTGCCATCCAGTCTTTTGAAGACTGTTTCACCCATTAAAATCTGCCTGCCCCTCCTCCCATACACAATACCATGTATTACCAAACCCTGATACAAAATGTGTCTAACACAGACTGCATATTGCTTTATGGGGGTATTTTAGTCTGAACAAATAATAACCAATTTTTTCAAAGACAGATCGTTTTAATCACTTGCTTCCTTTTCCAGGTTCTACTCATTTCTTCCAGGAGCCGCATATGTGCTTGGGTATTCCCAAAGGCAACAGTGTGGTCCCTCTCACCAGGCAACCTTGGTTATGGCTCTGACATCTCCAAGAACCTGCGATGTGGTCCTCAAGCTACCTGAGGTAACTGTTTCCACTGTCTTTTATCCTGGGGCATTCAGTACTTACGAAATCGAAGGTTAATAGCTTTTTTAACCCACTGATTTTTTTTTTTTTTTAAATTTATTAAACTATAAAGAAGGTCCCATCACAAGGACATTATATTCACACAGTTGGTTCCGTTATGAAAATATCTTGCAACACATTTCTCTTTCTCATGTAGCATGCAAACACATGAAATAAGAAACAGGTTACAAAACGACCATCACGATTGATAGCACATTAACAATAACTTATTAAAAAGACCACTCCTTCCCAAATCTTCAGGAAGATGATAGGTTTTCCTGTGTCTTGGAACAGATAATAAAACCAGGCTGTAGAGAAGCATGACAGCCAAATAGCAGCCCTCAAGATATAGGCAAGGAGAGGGTGTGTATCTCAGGTAAGAAAACTGTTCGGACTGTGAGCAACTGTGATGTACAACTCCCCCAAAAGATGCAAACTGGTGAATATCAAACTTCATTTATAGCACTGCTATTCTATAGGTTGCAGACATGTCAAACCGTAGAGCTCTTTCATGCTGTAGGCTGAGGACTTGATTTCTTTTTAGCTCTGACCTAAATCTGGATTCTAATTTAGATTTCAATCAGTACAGTCCTCTTTGAACGTTACAGGAAAATGCTCTCTCATCTCTACACTGTATTTTGCATTTACATTCACGTTTGTTTTCTGACTGATTTTCAGCTCACAATTTATGACAGAGCCATCAGGCTTCCCCTGCCATTCCCTTCAAGTCCAGGTACACCGATTTCAACACTACCATCCCCTGACTGGAATGTCTTCTCCCAAGCAACACTTTCAATCATTGAAAACCTTAAAGGTCAGCAGTTAACTATCTGCACAAACATTGATTGACTTTGCAGATTTTGTAAATGTGATTTATACTTTTGACATAACTTGAAATTATTTTACATTCACTTAAAAAATCAGTTGGACTTCAGATAGAAATAAACCCATCTGTATGAAAACCTGTGAGGCTGCAAAGATGTAAAGAAAAGGAAACTTATATCAGTAAGATTAAATATTCAGTTCCATGGCAAATAGTGATTCCAAATGCATTCATTCCCAAGTGCATCCATTTCAGCTTCACTGCAGAGATTGCCATGAAGAAAAAAACATTACGAAATTTATGAGAGGGACATTTAAGCGACCTCAGATTTGGGGTGCTCTGCTTGATTAGTGCTGTTATGTCGAAGCTAAAACAGCTTCAAAAGTATACCCATTAATTTCACCTCCCGCACTTGATTTTGAAGGGATTATTGTTTAATTAATGCTGTATTAAAAGCTAATCACATTATACTTCCTTAGGGCAAATTTTAAATGGAAAAGCTTTATGTCATCCTGGGATAAGGAGTCACATTTTGCTTCAAATCAGTGGGCTAATATCATACCTATGCATATTTCTTTGGTAAACACCAAAACTAGTCCGTATTAATTAAAATTGCTGTAAAATAATTTCTAACCAGAGCTGGTAGGATTTCCAACAATATCATTACAGTGAAAAAGGGAGAAGTTTACTCTAGTGTGGCTTTTTTCCCTCCCCATCTTCTAACTATTTCTAATGCCGGTTATGACTCCATAAAGGTAGCAGCATTTTAGTGAATTTCCTCTAGTGTTAACAATATGTGAATTGTTAACAGCATTTCAGAAATTCTTTTGACTACAACAAAGTTACAAAAGCCAAAAGGCCACAAACAGTTGCACCAGTACCAGCTGTGAGCTGAATTTATTTCACACAACGATTGAGTCATCAGTAGGTTGCGCTGCTGTCTGGGGACTGGCAAAGTTTTGCTTTCATATTACTATAAATCCAATATTTCATCTGAAGGAATAATTTTGCTTTTAGGTGGAAATAGGTAAAACCAGAAAATGGTCTTTTTTTTTTTTAAATTACAAATCTAAAATAGAATAACTGTCTTATATAACGCATAAAAGGCTTGCTTTTGACTGATATTTTTTTTTTTTTTTTAGCTCCTTGTTCACTTTTCCAAAATACGATCACAACCTTCAATGGAGTTGAATTTAACTATTCAATGCCTGCAAATTGCTACCATGTCTTGGTGCAAGATTGTAGTCCAGAACTGAAATTCCTGGTGATGATGAAAAGACTTGAAAAGTCTGCTGACCTTACAGCAATGAATGTCAGACTTGCCAGCCAGTAAGTAATTGCAAACTTAATGACAAATAGATGTCAAGCTGAATATGCTGCAAATGTGCATATCCAGATTGATAGGGCAGATCGGTGCTAGCATAAGACTCATGCAAAAATTAATTATGTCAATGGAAATATTTCTAGGAGTGTCACTGGGATTTGGGACTTTGTCTTTCAAAAGTGCTTCTGACATATATCTGAGGTTCACAGTAACCTAAAGTCTCTGCTGCCCAAAATTCTTCATTAATTTGTTAGCATTTAACCATCTCATTTCAGTTCTTAGTAATTAGGTAGACACATAAACTATAAATCCAAAAGGGACTATTGTAACCATTTAGTCTGGCCTCCTACACTAAGCTAATAATTAGAACTAATTAGCACCCGCAATCATCTCAGCAGAGATGTTGAGAAATGGACATAGCTAAAAAGGGAATTACTTATCGCAGATTAGAGGCACTCTCTTAGGTCATCCCTTAGTCGGTGCATAATGTTCTAATCTATTTGAAATTAACTTAAGACACACTTTGTTTCACCTTGGAGCAATCACCTCTGCCATTGTAGGTTCTTCTTTAAAAGTATAGTCTGATACTCTAAGCTGTATGGGATTATGCATACCAAAATCATTGTAGGGAGTATTCTTCAAAGCGCATAAATAGGCTTTGATCTGTAAGGTTTCATTACAAGTAATTATTTATTTCTGAAAATTGTGTGCCTAACTGTGGCATGATGTTAGAGAAACAGAGAGAAACTAATATTCCCTGCACCTGTTTTGTGAAAGAACAGAAAGATGCTTGTTTTATAGACTATATCTTTTGTGATAAAGACATTCCTCGTCACTGTATCATTCCCAATCGTTTCATACAACTGTATGGATGTGCTTTTGATGTGCTTGAGCTTCATATTTCTTCATTAGAGCAAACACTGCTCTGAAGAAAATACTACAATACACGACTATTCAGGCTGTAAGAGAACCACCGTAGGGAATCCAATCTTCCTTTGAAATGTAAAGCACCTTCAATTTATGCGAATGTAATAGCAATTATATTGTTCTGCAGCAAGGGTTCCTGTAGCCTGGTGTCTTCCTGCCTGAACCGGGGCCACAAGCAGACACTCAGAGATGAGTAAAGCCAGGGAAAAGTGTATTGTGAGCACTCCTCCAGGCACGCTTTCCTGGGCTCTCTCAATCTTCCTCCCAAAGGGTATGAGGTGATTCATGCTAGAGTGATATGAGCATCCTGCAATGTTTGTTCTACCAGGACTAGAAATTGTGAGCTGAGTAGGGAGAAAGAGAAGCATTTGTTTATACTGATTTCCTTTACTTACAGTGAGGTTGACATGTATGTTTCCAATGGACTCATCCAGTTGAAGATTAATGGTGTTCAAGCCCCAACAGATGTTCCATACACATCTAATTCTGGTAATAGACTAATCTTTATATTTCGTTTAATCTTTTCCGATCTTTTGAAGAAGGAGAGGACGTGATCCTGCAAACACCTCTCAAGACAAAGATCGCCCTAATTTGAGAAACAATTAGGTGATTTTAATATACCTTCATGCTAGCTTTCATAAGGGGTAGCAAGAAAGATGAGCAAAGAAAGAGATGCTGATCCTGTGTACCTTTGCACAAACCAAATAATGCAGGGCTGTGGCACCTTGTGCTGATCACAGAGACCCACAGAACAAGCATCTAGATGTCCCCTGGCCATGGCCACCCTTGTCACAGGGCTTCAGCTTGTTCCAGGGCAGGGAGCAGTATGGTCTTTCTCATTTCCCCCGTCTCTTTCAAGATACATTAGAGCCTGCATTAAGTACCCAGGAATTTAACAAGTGGTTCAGGTTGGACCCTAAAACAGTAACTTCTTTTTAAAAGAAATCCCTTTTTGCTTTTTTGTTGCAGATGCAAGCATACTGATCAGCAGCGAAAAGGAAGGCCTGTCACTAAAAGCCCCAGATTATGGCATAGATAAACTATATTATGATGGGCATAGACTTGAGGTATTTTAAAAATTATTTTCAGTGGTTTTATTTTTAGAAGAAAAACATTTAAGTGCATCTTTTCTTTATTTCCACAAAGATTCAGGTTGCTTTCTGGATGGCTGGAAAAACATGTGGTATTTGTGGAAAATATGATGCTGAGAAGGAAAGAGAATATCAAATGCCCAGTGGATATTTAGCTAAAGATGCAGTGAGTTTTGCTCAGTCCTGGATCATCTCAGAAGACCCCTGTGCTGGAGGTACTAAGATTCTAACATATATTAATGTCATTGCCTTTGCCTAATTAATTAGTCACATGAATAGATGATTTATATTAATTGTAGCACAATCATCTTTTTTTTCACTATTTTTGTGATTCACTAAAAAAAAAAATCTGGTTTTCCTGAGTTTGGTAGTTCACTGCAAGTTCTGGTTTTGTTGCATTTTTATATCAACTTCGTATGCACTAGGTAGTTACCTGAAGTTTGTGTGTTCCAGATAAAATTATAAACTTAAAACTCCCTAAGATGATAAGTTAGTATGAAAAGTAGGCAGTTTGATTGTTGACAGAGGACATTTTATGTCGTCCTTAATAGTTTCATTCTTTATTTCCATTCTGTTATTTCTAAGCTTTTAGTTTCCCAGAAAAAAATTTAAAATCTGGCCCTGGTTATCAAACTAGAGGGCATTTGAGATGGGAAATACCTGTTTTAATTTCCTCAGGCTGAAGATGAACTTAATCTGAAACCTTCAGCCCGGGACTGATTGTTCTTACCATCCAGGTCCTGTATAAAAACAACATGAACATATTGATAACATTAGGGTGCACCCCATTTTCTGTGGAACCCAGCCCTCTGGGCACGTGGTGGCATTTTTGGAATACATTCTTAGATCAAGTTCTCCTGGGGGGACTGGTCCAGGAAAGCCTGGATCACAGAGGCCTAAGGACAAGCCATGGCAAGGCAGGTGTGATGCTAGGCACAGTGCAGAAGTGGATATTCGGATGTCTAGGAGCCACTACTGCCCCAAAATGAAGTGCTGTCATAGTTTGGGTAAAGTTGAGTGTCAGTTGACCAAGGTTTTCACATGTATCTTTTCGGATTTGGACACCTGTGTCCTATTTAGATCCTATTTGGCAAGCCTCTGTCCGTGGGACTGTGCCCCACATGCCTGATTTTCTCACAGCCTAAGCCACTGACAGAAAATCGACTCACTTCAATCAGATTAGTTTCACATAGCTTGTGTCACTTGGTTTATCCATTGGTCTTAGTTGTTGCTAATTCTACAAATTAAGTCCGAAAAGTTATTTATATAAATCCTGTAGGTGCTTTAAGATAATTCATGTTTTATAGCTTGCAAGCTGCAGCGCAAATTTGTCAAAATTGAGAAGCCAGTTGCATTTGAGAAGGCGGCGGCAAAATGCTTCTCCGTGGAGCCCGTTCTACACTGCGTAGAAGGCTGTTCAGCAACCAGGACTGTTCCCGTCTCCGTGGGCTTCCACTGTGTACCAGCCGGTGAGTCTGCAGAACGGGTACTTGTGCACAACACAACCGGTATGTCCGACTGTGATTCTGTGGAAAACCACGAGGTTGACTGAACTAACACGTGAGTACCTCACTGTATAAAAAACCCCCTCACACGACCTCTTTTTTCTCATTTACAGACTCCACTCTCAACCTGGAAGGACAGATTAGGCGAGACCAGAAATCCGAGGACGTCGTGAGCACGGTTTCTGCTCATACGGCGTGTTCCTGTCAACAACAGTCATGCCCAGCGTGACGCCCCGATCCACAGGATCCACTCGTTTCTCGGTGTCAGTGTCAGCCCTGACGGCCTGAGACCCTGCGCACGCGGCGGGTTTGGACAGTGAGGATAAGGCCCTGTCCCCTTCAGGAGATGGTTCTTCTCTAGTTA